AACACGCATGTATATTTGCTGTTTTGAGCCACCCATTTTGGGGTGAGGTGTCTTGACAGTCCCAAGGCCCACACAGACACACAACACCCGAGGGGCTCAGGTTGAAACAGCAGCAGGCAACGCCCGAGGAAGGCTCGGAATGAGAAGAGTGGCAAGCACGGTGCAGAGAATGATGCTTGTGGCCGTGACGCAGCAGCGTGTCTGTCCAAGACTCCCTCACCCACCCAGAGTTAACGTCCAGCTTCCGCACTCAGGGCGAGGCCATGTGGCGCTGGAGAATGGATGGGGAACAAGCCCGCAGCAAGACAGCTCTGTCAGTGGATCCTTGAGAGGCTTTCATGTCTTGGCTGGCGGCTGTCCTGGGGGCTCAGATGGTAAAGACTCTGCCTGCAGTGTAGGAGACCCAGGTTCAGTCCCTGGGTCGGGAAGATCCGCCGGAGGAGGGCATGGCAACCCATTCCAGGATTCTTGCCTGGAGAATCCCATGGACAGAGGAGCCTGGCCGGCTACACTCCCCGGGGTCACAAAGAGTCGGACAAGACTGAGCGACTAACACTTTGACTCTCAAGAACGCTCTGCCTGCATCTCCTCTCTTTCCCCATCAACGGAGAGTGGGCCAGCATGGGTCTACCTCCCCCAACTCACCTGGGAGAGTGAGTTGATGCTGGCTACCAGACTGGCTAATATAAAGGGTCTGTCTGCATCATTTCTACTTAGATTCCACACATAAGGGATGTCATGCGATATTTCTCCTTCTCTGTCTGATCTACTTCACTCCATATGATGATGCAAGGTTCAGCCATGTTGTTGCAAAGGACGTTGTTCCCGTCTTTTTTATGGCTGAGAAGTATTCCATTGTGTATATGGACCGCCTCCTCTTTGCACATTCATCTGTCCATTGATAGGTTGGGCATCGTTTGCTTCCATGCGTCGGCTGCTGAAAACACTGCTTCTCGGAACATTGGGAGGCTTGAAGTAGAAACAGACCTAGATACTTAGAGAAAGAATTTAAGGCTGCCGAGGAGAAGGACGGGGGAAGGGATACTCGGGGCGTCTGGGATGGACACGGACACGCTGCTGTGTTTAACATGGAGAACCAGCAAGGACCTGCTGGACGGCCCAGGGAACTCTGCTCCATGTCACGCGGCAGCCGGGATGGGAGGGGAGTTTGGGGGAGAATGGGTACGTGTATATGGATGGCTGAGTGCCTTTGGTGCTCACCTGAACTTATCATCACAGTGTTAACTGACTATGCCCCAACACAGAATGAAAAGTTCGGAAAGAAGAAAGACAGGAATAGAGGGTTTCTCTGCCGCTGTGAAAGGACCGTCCCCGAGCCAACAAGAGCGCCTCTGGTGATTTCAGCACCCCTGCCACCCTCAGAGTCCACGTCTGTCTGCGCCCGCTGAGTCACAGGCAGAAGACAGAGTTCCCACAGACACCGACATCGAGGTTGTCTTTCTTCATCAAAGAAGACCCATCGGCGAGGCCCCGGGCGGCAGAGGAGGCTTGGCCAGCACAACAGAGAGGAGAAATCACAGCCGCGTCTGCCGGTGCCGATGGCAGCGAGCCTGTGTCCACAGCACCTCGAATTACCCCCGGAGAACAAAGCGCCTTGTGGTTTCCTGTGCTGTCTGCCCGCCGCCCGGGCCGCCTCCGCGGGCATCCGAGGAGCCGAGAGGAGGTCATTAAAGGAACGCCTCGGGAGGAGGGCGGGTCCCGCGCTCTTTGCTGCGGTCCACAGAGCGCCCAGCTCACGCCTCCACGACCCCGAGTTACTTGCAGCCACGCAGAGAGAGGCCTTTCCACCACGGACGAGCTCACACCGTGTGAGCCGTGAAATACCTTACAAGGGCTGCAGCGCGGGGAGATGGATGGTGGAGTAAACCTCCCGCGGACGGCTTCTGGGAGCATCTGTTGGATGATGGGTACAGACCAGTGGGAGGGGGCCACAGAAATCCACATGCCTGAGTGTCTGTCGCAGGAAAAGACCTGCGGGGGAAACAGGGTCAAACGCGCACGTCATGATGTGCAGACACGGGTCGCCTCTGGGACTGGCCGCTGCCCCCGGAGCAGACGTGACGGAGAGGCGTCTCAGTGAAGGGCACGCTGGAGGGTGATTTGGCGGCTGAGTCGCTGAGTCATGCCCGACTCTCAGGACCCCGTGGACTGTAGCCCTCCAAGCTCCTCTGTCCATCGGAGGATCAAGGGAGCAAAAGATGAACTGTGACTCACAATCCCAAGAGATGCTGAGCTCCAGAGCTGGGGGACACTTGCTCCTTGGAAGAAAAGCTACAACAAACGCAGACAGCGTATTAGAAAGCAGAGACATCGCTTTAACCACAAAGGTCCATCTAGGAAAGCTATAGTTGTTCCAGGAGTCACGTATGGATGTGGGAGTTGGACCATAAAGAAAGCTGAGCACCAAAGAATTGATGCTTTTGAACTGCAGTGTTGGGGAAGACTCTTGAGACTCCCTTGGACTGCAAGGAGATCCAACCAGTCCATCCTAAAGGAGATCAGTCCTGGGTGTTCATTGGAAGGACTGATGCTGAAGCTGAAACTCCAGTCCTTTGGCCACCTGATGCAAAGAGCTGACTCATTGGAACAGACCCTGATGCTGGGAAGGATTGAGGGCAGGAGGAGAAGGGGACGGCAGAGGATGAGATTGCTGGGATGGCATCATTGACCCAGTGGATATGAGTTTGCAGAAACTCCTAGAGATAGTGAAGGGCAGGGAAAGCCGGCTTGCTGCAGTCCATAGAGCTGCAAAGAGTCGGAGATAACTAAGTGACTGAACAACCACTACAAGGGCTGGTGGAGTTAAGACTCCGAGTGCTGTGCTAGCGTTTGCTCTGAGTCTTCAGGGTCTTGGGAATAAACAGTTGGATGGCTTTGAAGACCAAGGTAGATTCTACATTTGAGTTATCCGTGAGCTGAAACTTGACAATGACTGTGCTTAAAAATAAAAGCTTTTCTCCCGTAAGACAACCTCTTTCTCCATTTCTACCGCCCTGCTCTCGGTAGTCCGTGATCTAAACTATTTCCAAGCTGCTGCCTTATTCCCGGGCTTGTCACTGATGTCGCCAAGGTGCTCCCTGCGTATCTACAAGGACGGGGCAGCTCGCTTTTCAGCCAGGAGCCTCCCTCCTTAAGCATTTCGTGATGCTGGGCTTTCTTCCGGCGGCTTGCCTCTCTGGTCATCTCAGATGTGGTTGCTAATGCCACCGGATGCCAGCAGGTATGGACGTTGGTCCTGCCTGCAAACTGTCTCCAGCACGGGGACGGATCACGCCAGCACTGGGGTCCCTGTCACCCTCTCGTCCCCCGCGTCCTGGGACGGCTTTCAGCCTGTGACCTCATCCTACCCCGAAGTTCTTGTCATGTTCTAAGTGTTAGACGCTCAGTCGTGTCCGACTCTTTGCGACCCGCATGGACCGTAGCCTCGCCAGGCCCCTCTGTCCATGGGATTCTCCAGGCAAGAATACTGGAGTGGGTTGCCATGCCCTCCTCCAGGGCATCTTTCTTCCAAGGATTGTGGGTCTCCTGCATTGCAGGCAGACTCTTTACCTTCTGAGCCACCAGGAAACCCAAAGTTACCCCCTCATCTCTCCATTCCTCTCCAGCGTCTGCTGGAGACATCAGTCACTTACTGGTCCTTGCCTGTAGAGATCTTTCTAATTACTCTGTGTTGTTTCTTTCTCCAGGCATGGTTTGCTTTATTTATATTTATTTATATTTTTCCACTGATCTAATAACTACGCTGGCACAGTTTTCCAAAGAGTAGACCCGTGCCAATTCAGCTGGACCCTGGTACCCGTGTGTGCAGGAAATTTACCTGGGTAGCAGAAAAAGCACTTCCAAAGAGTTTCTTCTGCTTTTCCTTTAATCTCAACTTCCAGCAGGGCTTCCCAGATGGCCCAGTTGTTAAAGAACCCGCCTGCCAATGCAGGAGACCCAGGTTCAATCCCTGGGTTGGGAAGATGCCCTGGCGAAGGGAATGGCAACCCACTCCAGTATTCTTGCCTGGAGAATTCCATGGACAGAGGAGCCTGGCAGGCTGTAGTCCATGGGGTCACAGAGAGTCGGACACGACTGAGCACGCAGGCAGGCAGCCAACGTCCAGTACACATGGCCCCAGCCGAGTTTTCAAATTCTCGTAATTAATTCAGCCCCAATTCAACCGAATTGGTTTTGTTTGCCGCCGTCTTGTGGTTTTCTCAGACAAGCTTCAGTACCTTTTAAGGTCCTCCATGGGTTTTTGTTTTTTCTTTCTACACTGGTTCCTTTTCCACCAGGTTCTGTTTCCATCAGCCCGAAATCCTCTTCCCATGAAAGAAATAGAAACCAAGACATTAAGGATGAAACGGGCTGAGGGCAGTGTTTGGGAGACAGGAGGGCGGGCTCCGTCTTTGAAAGCTGTGAGGTCTCCTGCGAAGCCAAGATGCCGATGGTTCCCGGCAGCTTGGCCAAGCCAGGCAGATCCTCTATCAGCTGAGCTTCCCTGGTAGCTCAGACAGTAAAGAGTCTGCTTGCTAATGCAGGAGACCTGGGTTCGGTCCCTGGGTCGGGAAGATGCCCTGGAGGAGGGCATGGCAGCCCACTCCAGTATCCTTGCCTGGAGAATCCTGTGGGCAGAGGAACCTGGCGGGGCTACAGTCCCCGGGGTCGCAGAGAGTTGGACACGCCTGAGCGACTAGTGCACAGAGACACTTTTCCATCAGGGTTCTGTCTCCATCAGCCCCACAGAATCTTCCCGTGGAAGAAACGGAGACCAAGACAGTAAGGATGAGACGAGCTGAGCGCAGAGCTCCCGAGGCGGGAGGGCAGGCTCATCCTCTGCCGGCTGAGAGATCTATCCCCGGAGCCGAGATGCTGAGGGTTTCCGGACGCTCCGGCCAAGCCAGCCAAGGCTCTCCCCAGGGAGCGGCGGGTGGGGGCTGCCCTGGGGGCCGTCCAGAGGCTGGACGTGGGAGGCCTAGCAGGGGGACACAGCTGTCTCATGTTTCATGTGGCGATCGGAACGGCGGACCCCACGACCGCTTGGCCCTGCGCAAAGATATCGCACCTCCGCTGGAACCCAGACCTGGCGGCCCTGCTGCGGACGCGGCCCCAGCTTCCAAGGCATTGCTGTGGGTGGGGACTTGAGATCTTGCTTCATCAGCTTTCTTGTCCTGGAGCTGAAAAGTAAACACCAGGTGGGAGCAGCAGGAAGCCCGTGGGGGGACAGCGACCCCCACCCCCAGGGACCTCTCGGGGGGCTGCGGGCTCTGCAGAGACACCCAAAGACGGAAACCGGGCTGGAGGTGGGCAAGACCCGCACGGATGAGCCCCTTTCTGAGGGAGAATTGAAACTCGAAACCCTGCTTCTAGGCTTCCCTGAAGAACTCTGATGTCGGCACCCTCTCACGCGGCATTGCCCTGGCAGGCTCGAGAGTGGGAAACATCTTGTAAAAACGCACTGCAAGCCAGAGACCAGAGCAGACAGCTCTACGCACAAGATTTCCTGCACCTCACGATCTCTCTTCCACGGCACTTGGACAGCAAGCAGATCCAACCAGCCTGTCCTAAAGGAAATCAGCCCTGACTGTCCATGGGAAGGACCCGTGCTGAAGCTGAGACTCCAATCCTTTGGCCACCTGATGCGAAGAGCTGACTCACTGGAAAAGACCCCGATGCTGGGAAAGATTGAAGGTGGGAGAAGGGGACGGCAGAGGATGCGATGGTGGGATGGCATCACTGACACGATAGGCATGACTTTGAGCAACCCCGGGAGTTGGTATTGGACACGGAGGCCTGGCGTGCTGCCGTCCATGGGGTCACAAAGAGTTGGATGCGACTGAGCGACTGAACAACAACAGGAAGTTAAAGCCTGTCTGCAACCCCCAGTGCGGGGTTACTGAAACTGCTCATGGGCCCTTGTTTAGACAAAGGGTCTTGTTCCTGGCGGGGCTGGAAGAACCTGCATTTTCCACCTGCTGGGAGCCTCTCTTCTATGTGTGTGTGTGTGTGTGTGTGTGTGTGTGAAGTGGTGATTTTAATGCTGTTGTTTCTATATTTTGCAGCGTCCTAATTCCTTCTTTGCCTGCTCAAACGATCAGTGACAAATTAAGTGTGCAGGCATCTCCCGGCACGGAAGGCAATTTGTGAATTTTTTTCTTCTGCCTTTATAAGCGCGAGCAAAGCTGTGGCATTAAGGACCGCATGAATGCAGGACTGTCATGTCTTCTCCCTAACTGAAATGTTTATAATCACACAGTGACTGTATCTCTTCTCTCGCATTTCTCCCCCCTTTAAAATTCTGTTTTGTCTCCTCTGGATGTAGCCTTTTAATTCTCCACTTTTCGGTGTCTTTATGTTTCAGGGACGCTGTTTGCAAACAGCATTGAGCTGGTTTATTGTTTTTGTTTTAATACCGTCTCGAATGGAGATTGTAAGTCCATTTAAGGCAGTATGTTTCCAGTCAGTTTAAGGAACTGACTCATTGGAAAAGACCCTGATGCTGGGAAAGATTGAGGGCGGGAGGAGAAGGGGATGACAGAGGATGAGATGGTTGGATGGCATCACCGACTCAGTGGACATGAGTTTGAGTAAGCCCCAGGAGTTGGTGATGGACAGGGAGGCCTGGCGTGCTGCAGTCAATGGGGTCGCAAAGAGTCGGACACGACTGAGCGACTGAACTGAACTCAAGGCGATATGTCTTGATTTTTTCCCCTGCAGTTGTATTCTGTACTCAAGTGTTCCTGCTTTTTAAATTTGTTTTCTCGTGTCTTGCCATCTTCTGCTTTAGTTGCGTCTTTGTCCTCTTTTTAGCAGTTTGGAAGTGATTCCTCCTCTCCCTCCACTTTCAGTGTCTGCTTTAAAAATTCTAACATTTGTATTTAAGGTAACAGGTCATACACTTAATCCATCTCCTCGTCCGCCTGGTGAACATCCCCACTAAGAACGCCAGTCTTCTCTCTCTAAGCTTATGCTTGTGGCTTGAAGTGTAGTAGGAAATTAGGTGGATGGTGAGAGAATTTGGGAGTTTTCACAGAAAATGAGTTTTCAACACTAAAATGCCCCAGCAGGTCATCTGAAATTGCCCCTCAGCACGTCAAGATAGAGTCATTTGGAGTCTGTCTCATGAAATTCATTTTCTTTTGTAGGCAAAAAAAAAAAAAAAATTGTAATCCAGCAAAAGTCTCTTGCTCCTTGGAAGGAAAGCTATGACCAACCTAGACAGCATATTAAAAAGCAGAGACATCACTTTGCTGACAAAGGTCCATCTAGTCAAAGCTATAGTTTTTCCAGTGGTCATGTATGGATGTGAGAGTTTCAAAGGTATGGTTTTTGTAGTAGTCATGTATGGATGTGAGAGTTGGACCATAAAGAAAGCTGAGCGCCAAAGAATTGATGCTTTTGAACTGTGGTGTTGGAGAAGACTCTTGAGAGTCCCTTGGACTGCAAGGAGATCCAGCGTGTCCATCCTAAAGGAAATCAGTCCTGAGTATTCATTGGAAGGACTGATGCTGAAGCTGGAGCTCCAATACTTTGAAGAGCTAACTCATTAGAGAAGACCCTGATGCTGGGAAAGATTGAGGGCGGGAGGAGAAGGGGGCGACAGAGGGTGAGAAGGTTGGATGGCATCACCGACTCCATGGACATGAGTTTGAGCGAGCTCTGGGAGATAGTGAAGGACAGAGAAACCTGGCGTGTGGCAGTCTGTGGGGTTGCACAGAGTCGGACATGACTGAATAACAACAATCCAGCCATCAAGTTTCTTGGTATTTCCACAAAGGAGTTGAAAACTTTGTTGACACAAAACCCTGCACATGGATGTTTATAGCAGCTCTGTTCCTAACTGCGAAGACTCAGAAGCAACCAAGATGCCCTTCAGTAACTGAGGCATAAACTGTGGTCCATCCACTTGATGGAATATTATTCAGCACTAAAAAAAGAAGTGATCTGTCAAGCTATGAGAAGACATGGAGGAACTTTAAATATATTTAATGAAGGTGAAAGAAACCAGTCTGAAAAGGCTACAGACTGTGTGGGTCCAACTCTGTGATGTTCTGGGGAATGCAGAACTATGGAGACAGACGAATTCTCAGTGGCTGTCAGCAGGAAGAGGGAGGGATGAACATATGCGGAGCACAGGGGATTTTAGGACAGAGAACATACTCTATGATGCTATAATGACCGATGCACGCATGTGTGCTTAATCACTGAGTGGCATCTGACTCTGCAACCCCATGGACTATATAGCCCCCCAGGCTCCTCCATCCATGGGCGTCTCCCAGCAAGAGTACTGGAGGTACTGTACCGCAAAGTGAATCTGAGACTTGGGAGAATCTCTAACACAAACAACAGAGGGACAAGGAGAAAGCTCCTTGGTGCCCATGCCCATCCTTCTCGTTAGGAATTGTATCTCGAGGGTGTGATGTGTGGTGCGCCAGCAGCCACTTTGTGACAATGAGGTCAGATATTTTTTCCCCCTCCGCCCCCAGCATGGTGGATGGCATTACCTGTGCTCACCCTTCAGATTTTTTTTTTTAACGTGTGTGTATAACTTGACTATACCCTGCCTGCATCACTGCCGTGGATGGTTCATGGGGCTCTGACAGCAGGCAGAAGGACCACAGCTTGGGCGTGTCTGATTCTTTGCAGCCATTTCTGCCGCTGGGACACGGATCCACGTCCCCATGGAGACGTTTTCCTTGTCACAGTGCAGCGGACGTGGCGGACGGGGGGTCTGACTTGATCCATGGGCGTTTCTCATAGTTTTCCCACCTGGCTTCGAGCATTTGTAGCCAGAAGGGGCACTTGTGTATGCGGAGTCAGATTTTGGCAGAAGATCACACATGCCCTGGCGGGATGCCTTTTCCAAGACCTAAACCGCCGAACACGTCTCCTAAAGAAAGCACTACCCAGCGCCTTCGTCTCTCCCCGCGCAAGCCCCGATGAGGTGTTGTGAGAATCCTCGCTGACGCCTCTTCCGCCCGAGAAGAGACGCCCCGTCTTAGGTTTTATTACGGGGCCCATAAATTACCTTTTCACAGGCGGCCGCGACGCCGAAACCACACGTGCCTTGTTCTCGGTGCCTGTCTTGCTCCCCCCCGCCTCTGGGGGCACGGAGTCCTCTTCCAATCACTCATGTGTCAGCTACCCACTTAGGCAGCACCTCCGAAATCCTTTCAAGTCCCGGAGCAGCTGCGGGTAGGAGCGCTCCGCGGCCGCTGGCCCGGGCGTTCGGTCCCTGCCACGTTCTGCGCCCCCCGCCCCGCTCCAGGCCCTTCCTCCTGCTCCCAGGACATGTGTTTACAATCACCGAAAACTCACGATCGGCTCCAGCCGCCAGCAGGCTCCTCCAACCTGGAGCCTCGTTCTCAGCGCTCTCCGATGTCATTTGCACCGGATCTGCGACTGCATTTTTTCCTCCAGAGTGCTCGGCCGCGTTACGATCTTTTTTTTTTTTTTTCTCCCCCTCCCCACTCTTCTTTCCTCGGACACGATGCTCTTTGTTCCACCGTGCATGTCGGAAGCGCAGACCTGTTGGCAAGAATTCCATTGTACGAAAGAGTCAGACAGAGATAATAAAAGATGAAGGTTGCTTATGAACGAGAGAACAAAGTGAAAGGAGAGTGTGTGAACATTTAGCTTTGTCATTACCTTTTTTCCCTCTTTTTTTTTTTTTAATTAGGAGACGTTTAATAACACATATGTGTGCTAAATTGCTTCAGTCCTGTCCGACTCCGTGACCGCATGGACTGTAGCCGGCCAGGCTCCTCTGTCCATGGAATTCTCCAGGCAAGAATCCTGGAGTGCGTTGCCATGCCCTTCTCCAAGGGATCTTACCGACCCAGGGATGGAACCTGGGTCTCCTGAAGCTCCTGCATAGGCAAGTGGGTTCTTTACCCCTTGAGCCACCGGGGGAAGCCCCCTCTAGCTTTAGAAATCTACAATCAGTCATTTTGGAATCGATCACAATCAAATATCAATAGCCCCATCACTGTAGGTAGTGAGTTGGTTCCGAGATGGCTGTTTGCTCAGGATTTCTTCTCTGCACCAGATCAAACAGATGACCTCAAAGTGGTTCATTTTGATTACGCGGCTTCCCACGGTTTGACGTTGACCCCGTTTTCCTAGGATAACCTGTCAAATGAGTGTTGTGAGTCACATTTTATATCACAGTCCCCAGACCCTACCAACGACACCCAAAATACACACACCAATGCAAGTACACACACATGCATCCTCTTCGGGGTTTTCTATGAGGAAAAAAAAAAAA